AAAGTTATTTCTTGGCCTTAAATACAACCATCTGCCATGCCAATGACCAAATCATCCCACTCCAATCCATTGATGGCATCCATGCTTCGATGGTGAGAACAAAACTAGAAATTGCAGGTGAGTACTTGGTTCTTTGAGTTTCGACAAGCAATATATGAATATATTGGTGTTGATCGGATTTGATGCAAGATGTGGGTTGTTCATGGTGTAGACGCCACTCTCGGTTTGGTGTAGGGATAAAGCTCTGCTTTTTGGTCTTCAATGGAGATGGAGAAGAGAGACAAAATTCGGTGAAGAGGATAGAAATATCCATAAACTGAGTTAAGGAATTAGGGATTTTTGGTTAAGTGGGTAACAATCTTTTATAATATAAAGGTAGTATGGTATTTTTGTATGATAAGGGTTGAATGGTCATTTAATTTAAATATGGTACTCAGGACACAATTTAACGGCCAAAAAATTTGCCAATAGTCGAATTGGGTAAATTGCCACCAAACCCCTAAGTTGAGGGGGGTTAAATGCATCTTTAATAATTTAAGAGGGTTATTTGTTCATAGGACTATAGTTGGAGGGGTTTATTGCACTTTACCCTATATTTTAGTTAACAAGAAATATATTCATACACCCCACATGTTCCTATGATAACTTGAATCTCGACCTTCTTTTTAGATAACACGGGTCCTTAGCTCAGTGGTAGAGCATTTGACTGCAGATCAAGAGGTCACCGGTTCGAACTCAGTGGGGCCCTCAACTTAATTTCCATTTTCCTTCATTTTGCTTTATTGAAATATGTGTATACTTTTCCTCTCCCCATAAAAATAGTATGGAAGTAAGACTTTTTAAGGGAATATCCAATTAATGCATTGATCGTTTTTAAAATGTTAATTTTTTGAAAACTTGAAAGGAAAGAAGAATAATTAAATCGAAGGGAATATATGGAAAGTTGAAGTGAATATATGGAAAGTTGAAGGGAATAATTTTTTAAAAACTTGAAGGGAAATATGGAAAGTTGTATTTATCTAAATTTGACTTTTTAACTAAGACAATTATTTTGGGACGGTCAAAAAAGGAAAGAAGAATAATTAAATTGGGACAGAGTGAATGACTCAACCTTTATTTATAATATATATATATATATAGGGACAAATTGGTATATGAGTGTATTTCTTGTCAATTAAACATATATATATACACTCATATACCAATATGTCCCTATGATAACTTAAACCTATCCTATTTGTATTTATACAACATGGGTCCTTAGCTCAGTAGTAGAGCATTTGACAGTAGATTAAGAGCTCCTCTGGTTCAAACCTAGCAGAGCCCTCAACTTGATTTCCATTTTGCTTTATTGAAATACATGTATACGTTTTCTCTTCCAATAAAAATAGTATGAGAGTAAGACTTTTTAAGGAGATATTCAATTAATGCATTGTCCTAGGGATTTCAAAAAATCCCCACCAATTTGGGGACGGTTTCAGAGAACCAATTATGTAAATGGGAGCGGGGATAGGAATTGCTTTGAAAAATCCGACGGGTTTTGGGGCGGTTTAGAGGGATGGTTGCCGCTCCCCGAATATACTATTAATTTATTAATTATCATTACACATTATGATAAATTACTAAAATAGGTTAAGTATATATATTAGGTATGGCAAAAATTCCCACCTCGCGGGGCGTTTGAGACAATTTTGGGAAATCAATTATGTAAATGGAGCAGGGATGGGGTTTTGTGGCCGTTATGGGGGTGAAAAAATTAAACAGACGGGGAATGAGATCCCCGCTCCATTGCCATCCCATTTGTCCCCTTTTAAAATGTTATTTTTTAAAAAATTTAAAGGGTATATATGGAAAGATGGCCATTCCATTTGTCCCCTTTTAAAATGTTATTTTTTTTGAAAATTTAAAGGGTATATATGGAAAGATGCATTTATGTTCTTTTGACTTTTCAACTGAGACAATTATTTTGGGCCGGCCAAACAAGGAAAGAATGATAATTAAATTGGAATGGAGTGAATGACTCATCCCTTGATTTATAATATATATATATATATATATATATATATATATATATATATATAAATTGACAAGAAATATACTCATACATTCCATATGTCCCTATGATAACTTGAATCTCGACCTCCTATTTAGACAGCACGGGTCCTTAGCTCAGTGGTAGAGCATTTGACTGCAGATCAAGAGGTCACCGGTTCGACCCCGGTAGGGCCCTCAACTTGATTTTAATTTTGCTTTATTGAAATATATTTATATTTTTCCTCTTCCCATAAAAATAGTATAGGAGTGAGACTTTTTAAGGGGATATCTAATTAATGCATCGTTCATATTTAAAATGTTATTTTTTTAAAAAAACTTAAAAGGTATATATGAAAATATGCATTTATCTTCTTTTAACTTTTCAACTCGATCAATTATTTTAGAACGGCCAAAAAAGGAAGGAATGATAATTAAATTGGGACGGAGCCAATGACTCATCCCTTGATTTATAATTAATAGATATATATATATAATTGACGATAAATACACTCACTTTATATGTCCCTATGATAATTTGAACCTCGACATCCTATTTAGACAACATGGGTCCTTAGCTATGTGGTAGAGCATTTAATTGCAGATCAAGAGGTCAACGGTTCAAACTAGGACCTCAACTTGATCTCCATTTTACTTCAAATTCAAACAAGTATAAAAAAGTTCTTACTTAAAATTTAAGTTATAAAATTTTCAAATTTATTAAAGGACACGTAAGTTATATAATATAAAATCATATATTATTAGAATAACATACCTTACATCGGTTAAATATTATATAACTTCTATATTATAGTCTTATGTATATAACTCGTAATCCACAATCGGTACACTGTATAACTTCTATATTATAGTCTTATGTATATAACTCGTAATCCACAATCGGTACACTGCTGGGCGTCAAAGATCCGTCCAAACATCCAACTACGCTGAGCATGCTAAACCTACTTCAACCTCAACGTACTTGGTGTGAACAATATATAAATATCATTTATCCATATTTTATATTGCGAAAACACAAACATTGACTTAAAAAACAAAAGGATGTCAACCATGTGAAACACAATTTGAGCAACCAATTAGATTAGGAAGGAGAGCACAACTAACATGGTGAAACAACACCACCTAACAAACATCATCCATTGAGAGAATAATTTTATTCTCATATTTATTGCTTTTGCAGGCCAAATAGAACTTCAAATATAATTAATTATTCAATTTTGTGACAATGTCTTGACCCTCTAGGGTAAATACAAAGACCAAGACCAAGTCATAGACACCCACCTTAAGCAAAACCACTTGACCATTACTTTGTTCCATGATTCAACAAGAGAATTAAGCTGGCTTCTTCATTGCTCCTTCCTTCAACTTTCTGAAATTGCCAATGGAAAATATTCTTCCAAGAAGAAAAGACAAGATTCATGCATTACGAGACGAGAAATTATTACATGATTCTGAGATTAATAGTTTTGATCGATCACGAAGTAACACATAAGTAAAAAGTTGATTGATATTGACATAAAACTGACACATTTGCTTATGTGTTCCTTTATGATTGATCTGAAATCAACAATTCGGGACCATTTATCTTGAAACCATATCATAATCAAGAAAAGGACCATGCATCTTCATCACCTTGGGTGACTGTCCCACTGATGCTTCTCCTTACCAAAAACTACAGTGATGTTTGGGGGAACACAAACCACTACCTTTGCCACCGCATGAAGGGATGTTATTGCTCAACTATGAAGTGTCTGCACTATTTCCCAACATTTCTTTCTATCATGACTCTCCACTTCTATGTATACCTTTTATTAATGGACATTAGGTTAAATGTTAGGATTAAGAAGACTAGAGATGGTGTGTGAACCCAAAATAGGGCTATGCTTATGCTTTCTCCACTTTTAGCATAATTTGCCTTTTCAACCACCATTGCCTTTTCAATCTACCCACAAACTTACTAAAAATTACACCCTATATCTGAATCATTGATCCCAGGCCAATCACCTACGTATTGAACCAATGGTCCTAAAATCATGTAATATTACTGTAGTTTATTTATTTAAAAAGCATAGATTCAACTTTCGGGTGTCTCACATAGGTTTTAAATGACATTCACTTTAGGTTTCACGATTGCTACACACTTAAAACTACAAAATATATATATATATATATAAAATTTATTATTTTAAAAATACAGTACTTCATCACTTAGAATTCAACTCTTAAAATTTTGAATAATTAAATTAAAAATTAATCAAACAACACCTGTGTGTGTGAGGGAGAAAGTGGTGTGACGCCACGGAGCGGGTTTGGACTAGTATGCCGTCCTTCGCCCACGTCCCCGACTAAAACCGCAAAAACGGAAGGACTTTCCATCCAATCCCCGCAACCGTTTAATATTTTTACTCTCACGGGTACCCACCTTGCCCCGTTTAAGCCTATAATTTATTATTAAAATAGATTTGTTTTTTTTTTTTTACCCTCATCTTCGGTTCTTCACCATTACAACCTTCCTTCTAATAAAATTCATTTGTTACTTTAATATTGTTATATAAGATACTTAATATATATACTAATGAACACATGAATTTTTATTACATCAAATTATTTCCGCCCAAATAAGTTAAACTGTCCCCAAAATCGCCAAAAAATGAGACGGGACGAGTAACTGCGGGACGGATCAAATTATCATCCTTACATGTGGGTGAGAATATTGACAAAGTTTAGGTAAGTAACCCTAATATTAAAAAAATAAAAGAATGCTAAGGAAAGCAAACTTTGAAACGAAGTGCCAGAAAAAAAAAAAAGCATATCACCACCACTAAACGTAAGGAATACTCCAACCCTTATTTTAATGGCAGACAAAAAGGAAAAGAGAATATAATCCACTTTCTCTCCAGCCTTTTATGACCAAAATGTTAACCATATCCAACTCATTAATGACACCATTAACAACAAAACACACAATCAATTTTGAAATTATAAAAAGACAATAAAAGCTGTCCACCAAATGCTTAATTTTCCAATTTTCCATAGAACAGAAAGAGAGACTCACAAATTTACATACCTAAAATGACAAAGGAAGAGAAGTCAAAGGGTACATTTCAAAGTAAAATATTGTTCAATTATTTAAGAAAGGTAAAATGAGAAAATGAAACTCCAGAAAGAAACCCTTTCAATGTGTTACTTCCTGAGAAATCAATATTTGCATTGCCCTTTTGGATCATCATCAACCAAACTTGCTCACTTCAGAGGATGCTCATCAGAAGCATGCGTCAAGGAGGCAGCAACAGCATAGAGCAGCCAAACTGCATTGGTATTCGGATTATTCAATTAGCACATCATCATCATCGAAGAGAAGAAAAAAAAAACGACGAACGAGACGAACGAAACGAATCTTATAAGAACACGGCTACTACTTCAAGGCCGGCAGGGCGGCTTTTGTGCCCTTAGATATCTTTTAGGCCTAAATTATCGGTTCAAATATCAAATTCCCATGATTGAATTTAATAATGTTTGAAAATTGTTTTACAAAACCAGAATCATACAAAGCCATAGTGATTCTCAATGCTTCGGTCGGCAATCACAAGATCAAACTCATCCAATAGATAAAATTGGATTGACAACACATCCCTTACTAGCAATAACACATTTTCTCATCTAAACGAATCAATAATTGAATAGTCAAGAGTGACCAAGAACATATCACTACGTGGAAGTAAATTTTAAGGAACTTTTTAAAAAATAAATAAACACATTTCCTCGTCAAAACAAACCAATAATTGAAAGGTCAAAGGGTGACCAAAAACATGATTTGTTCTCTAATTGGAAGTTAATTTTTAGGAATTCTAAAAAAATAAAATAAACACATCTCCTCATCAAAACGAACCAATAATTGAAAGGCCAAGAGTAACCAAGAACTTCTCTAATTGAAAGTTAATTTTCAACAAACCCTAAAACATAATAAAATAATAACAAATCCCCCAAAAATATACTATTGGAGTAATTAATTTTGCAAAACTGTCAATCAAACAAAATTTCCTAACAATTAAATTATTTTCTTCAAATAAATAACCTCAAAAAGACTAATTTATTGAAAAAAAATTAGGAACCTAAAAAATATCGGAGATCTACCCTATATATCCGGCCCAAATTAGATGACCAAAATATCCTCCTAACCAAACCTAACGCCGTACCAATACAAGGGTATTTCCGGAAACTCAACCAAAACAGCCGTACCCTGCATCGTTCTTGACGGCGTTCCAGTGCCGTACGCCACCGTGGCGTGCGCCGGCAAACGGGTTCATTCCACTCGTCAGGATCTCGGAAAAAAAAAACTCAGAACGTACAGATCCAAGTCATCATATAAAATCAAATCTCCTAAGACCTACTGATGATTTGACACAGAAACCATACAATTCTAAAATGTGTAAATACAGATCTGTGGGAAGCAATTCTAGAGAGAGAAAGTAGATTAGTTCATACCATCCTTCCATGAACCCAGTGCTGCCCTGTTGTTGTTGCTGTTGAGGGGGAGGCTGACCGTACTGAGGGGCGTACTGTGGAGGGTACCCTTGAGGAGGGTAGCCCTGGGGAGGGTACCCTTGCGGAGGGTACCCTGGTGGAGGGTAGGCGTCCTTCGGGTACCCTTCTGGAGGGTAACCTACAAAACCAAGAAAACAAAATCGAATTCCATCAGATCCAATCGAACAACATTCAAGAACGAAAACCAATAAACCCAATTCAAATTAAATATCAGGCCGATCAAAACACACACAGAAATCCAAGATCAGAGGGTGAGTTACCTTGAGGGGGAGGGACACCGACGGGAGGTTGTTGCTGGTTGTAGTAACTCATGTTCTTGAGCGTTGATCTGGGTAAACGCTTGTTCTTCTTCTCTCTGTTTCAGAGAGATTCGTTGTGCACAAGTAATAATAATGCGTGACTCTGTGTTTGTGTGTGAGAGAGTCTATATATATAAATATTATACTTATTATACATATATACGAATATTGAATACTATATAGAAAGAGAGTGGAACTGGGGGTTTGAGCTTTTGGGGAAGGGTTTTTAACCGTTCACCAATGAGAGGATGGGGGACTAATTTTTTTGTGCCACGTGGTTATGTATTATTGGAGAAGTAAATATTTTTTTTTTATCTTTATTATGTACGCGTACGAGACGCGTAAAAAACAAAAAAGAGAAAGAAAAAAATGAAAATAATATTAAAATGTTTTGTTATTTGAGTATAGGGTACAGGGAAAAAAAAAACACAAAGAATTCACTTCTTTTCAATTTCCAGCTCTCTTCTTTTGTTTTAATTTTCTTTCTTTGTAAAAAAAAAAAAAAGCAAAAAAAAAAAAAAAAGCCATAATGAAATCAATGGGGAGGATCTATTTCCACTTTGTAACCATCTCTTTCAATTTTATTCCCAAAATTTTCTTTCAATTTTAAATGACTTTAACTCCTGACTGTTACTAAAATTCCGTTATATAGTTATTTTTGGCAGTATTTGTTTAGACTTTTAGTATAGCTTGTGAGAACCTATACGCAATATATATTATATATTTATAAGATATCAGTTTAACCTACCGTCAACAGTCAATCTTTGTTAATACCGTGGATTAAAATAAATAAATAAATATAATACTGTTTTGGTTTTTTATAATGGGTCTTTTATTAAACCCAAATCTGCATTTTATGCTTGACAACCATCTTTAAATCTATATCTTGTCACTATTTGTGAAAAACAAGAAATGGAAAGGATGATACCTCCAATGAAAACACAAATGTGAAAAACCTAAATTATGATATAATATTAAGCATTAATAAATGCAACAACCAAAACAGATGCATTCATGATTGAAAAATAATTTTTAAATCGAATTTTCAAAATTATTTGTATGGTTAAAGATTTTCATCTATTTGATATAGTGGATGAAATTCACTTTTGAACTTATCTATTATAGATAAAAATTTTAAAAGTTAAAGTTAAGGACAAAATAAATAGATTTGAATATCATGTTTGTGCTTAATTAACGTGTGATACTATATATCACTGATATGCTAAAAATAAAAATATATCATTGTTACACTAAAAATAAAAATATTTAAGTTTTTCTCTTCCACCCCTTATAAATGTCATCCGTTATAACGAATATATAATTTCTTACAAAAAAGAAATAAAAACAAATTATAAAAAAATATCATCTACTAATTGACAAAATTGCTGTTAATTCTTCCGGGTGGAAAGAGGCAACACCTTTCCTCTGATTTTTGTAGTGAAAGCCACAAATACCACCACCACATGGTCTTTGTGTAATAAAAAAGAAAAGTATATATTTGGTGTTGACTCGCAATATTGTGACAAAGGCACAAATAAATTTGTGGGGGACCATCACGATTGGTGGACTTTATGGTAAGTTTATGTATTATTACATAGTTATGAGATTATTAGTCTTGTTCATTTTGGTTCAGTTCATTTACGAAATAATATATAAATAGAAAATCAAGAATGACATAAGGTTAACACATTTATTTATGTGTAGTTTTATAATTAGATAGGGACTAATAATGTTAAGACCATGAAATAATTTATTGTCTAAAAAAAATTATATTAATGCAAATAAATATTATAATTATATAATGATAGCAATATCTCTCTAGTATGTAGTGGTAAGAGTTGAGTTCTTTTTATTTATTTTTGAGATTGAGACATGGTTAAGTTAAATTAATTATTTAATAAATTATTTAATCCAACGTTATAAAGAAGAACTCACGACTTAATAACATTATTTTAGCTCGGGCACGCGCGCACATATATATATATATATATATATCAATGCTTTCCACAACCACCTTTGCCTAGTCAATTAAGCAAAAAGTCATTATAAACAAGCAGATGTAACCTTGATAATTAAGTAGTTTATGTTGATTACTCTTAGTTGATGTGATTTGGGAATGAAATCATGCAAGTGAGGTTGATGGTGTAAAAGTGCCAACCAGTTTATTATATGAGCATTCTCTTATATACCCTAGTCCATTGGACAAACCAGCTCATTTCTTAGCTCAAAAGGCAATGAAAATCTCTAAGTACTGCAATATAAAGGACACCTTAAAGTAGTTTATTTATCTATTTTTTTTAATTATATCATAAATTTATATATATATATATATATATATATATATATATATATATTTCATTAGATGTGTTACATGACCAGTACTATACCACATCCAACAATCAATGCACACCACATCTAGGCACGGACCTACCATAGGACCAGTGCCTCCATTAAATTTTTTATATTTTTATTTTATATCTCAAATTTTTTAAAATTTATGAAGATGCCTTCACAAAATTACAATTCACTCCTACTGAATTTTTTTATATTATCATTTTATACCTCAAATTTTTTAAAATTTATGAAGATACCCTCACAAAATTACAATTTGCCCCACTAGATTAATATTTATTTTTGCATTTTAACTTCAAATTTTTTAGAATTTATGAAGATACCTCTACTAAAATTACAATTCTCCCCCATTGAATTTTTTTTTTTTTTTTTTTTTTTAATGGAAAAAACTATATTGATATAAAAATAGACCCTTGTTTTCACAAATTAAAAGACCGCCCCGCTCACAAAATTTTTTAACTCTATCACTGACCATATTGACGTGTGATTGCGCATACGTGAAAGTGATGAGTACCACTCGGTAAAGTAAAACACTTGCAGGTAGAGGATCCGGAGTAGTAACGCATCAACATCATAGGGAAGGGAAGTTTAGTGAGCCAATAGTTTAAGCCAAAACAAAGAGAAAGGTTAACCAAACTTCAACCATTTTATTACGATGTATTTGCAGAGTAAAGAAGCCGCTTATAGTGACATAAGGTTTGTACTATAATATAAAGGTCTGGGAGGGTCAACGTGGTGGAGGGGCAGATAAGGTCAGCAACTACTAAAACTACCCATCAATCACACTAATTGTCACATTACTGAAGATCTAAAGTTAAAAAAATTGTAGACTTTGAATACTAGTTTGTACTTTTGAAGAACACGTACGAACGTTATTATGAAAATCTCCTCGTAATTCAGTGAATTAATGTTTTTCGTAGAATTTAAAGGGTCAAGCTTCGACTCCATGTATTTATTAATTTAATTTCTAACATTTTTTATCTCATAAAACAAAAATAATAGTAAAACACTAACATTATTATTGTTATTATTATTTATATTGTCAAAAAACACACTAGCAACCCCTCGCACATTTGTTTGTTCACATTTGTGCTCAAGTGTCCTTCCTGGCTTCAAAAGGACAAAAAACTTAATTACACTTGTTGTAATGATAATATGTTTGGTATCATTAGCCTATTAAATATTGACATATAATAATAAAATTGACTAAAATAAAGTAATTTAAAGGAACTTTATATCGGACGTCCTGGGATCCACACATACAAACATCGTAAAACTAAGTTATGTTGTCACGTTATAATTGTTATTCAAGTTCATTTGTTATGAACTTATAGCTGCTATCTCAGTTTGGCCTTTTCTCCTCATCTGGTTAAATGTGAAAAGGGTTTTACGCACATGCTTAGCTTCTTTTCTGACTGTCACCTTATTCTTGTAAAATTGAAATGACAAAAATACCCCTATCGCCCATTTGAAGACAATCCAATTACAGAGATGTCTCAACCTAACCAAATTAGAGCTAATTGATTACTTCATATATATATATATATATATATCTCTCTACTCTCTCCTCCTCCACAATCTACCCTTTCCACCATCGTCTCTAGACTCTATTTTTCCTCTCTCTTAGTCCATCCGCCTGCTAAAAACAATGCCCACCATAGAATAAATAGAATTAGTACAGTGTCACATAGAGAGGACTCCTCACCCTTTTTGAGAGTGAAATCAATTTTTTTGGCACGAGATAAATGAAATGGGCTGTAGAACTCAGCTCTCAATTTTATAGTGTTTCAAATTGCTAGCACGTAGAGATTCTCGTACGTGTTGAAATTTCGCTTATCAATTCTTTAAATAGAAGGTTGAGGCTTTAAGTTGTCATAGGAGTAAAAGTAAGCGTATAAGTGTGTTTGTTGTTAGTGTAAAAAAATTGTAGTAGTATTAGTAGTGGAAAACGTCGTTCAACACACAAAATTTTCAAACACCGGATATATATGACAATGTCGGATTGAAAGAGAGGAAAGTGGTATAATTGCCCATACATGTGGAAGGAGAGTGAGGAAAATAAATTATTGATGAATATAGATCAATCCGTTAGGTTTTGTTTGGGAAATAGAAGATGCATCGAGGGAGAGAGAGGAGCTGATACGGAGAGTGGGGTGAAAACAAATAAGTGGCTTTTTTGTCATTTTATTTTTGCGAGAACAAGATTTGGAGCGCCAGAGGCCATTTTTGGAACCTGAATATCATCACCCTTTCGAGAATTAATATACCTAGATCTGCATTGAATTTTAAAATTGAATTTGAATTTTCAAATATTGGAAAATAGAAATTAGGACACCAAAAGATTTGGAACTTCATTGCGTGGTCAATGAGTTGGTTTAGAACGATTCAAACTTAGGAACTCGCCTAGGGTGGGATCATATGGTACACAGATAGTTATGTTGTTTTCCACAACCACCTTCATAAGTCGTTATTAATAATGAGATGTAAACCTTAATAATTAAGAAGTTTCTGCTGACCAATCATGGTTGATATGGTCTGACAATGGAATTTATGCAAGTGGCGTAAAAGAGCTAACAAGTGTTTAGAAAAGTCTTCTACTACCTAGTCCTTGGACAAACCAGCTAATTTTTTTTTAGCTCCAAAGGCATTGGAAATCTTTACTGCAATATAAAGCACCCCTTCAACTAGTCTATATATTTATTTGACCAACTTTCCGACATTAAAAAATTACGAAACTTTTTAGTTTTGTCAATTCATGAGTTCATTTTCTAAAAACCAAGGCCTCAAAATTTTATTGGCCATATAAATTAATTACCACCATGGCCAAAGTT